ATATAAATTAAGAACAGAAATGATAAAATTTTAAATGGTACGATGCGAGAAAAAAAAAATAAAGTTACGTTCATTTTAATTATTTGTAACTAAGTGAAGGAGACTGAATAGAAAAGATTATCGGAGAGAAAGGTATGTAAGTAGGTAGGTAGATAGGTACGCACATAAGATATTTGTTTGTCTAATAATAATAATAATGAAATAATAAAAAAAGATAATTACGATTAAACAAAAAGGTAAATGATGGTCACACTTGAAAAGTGGTGTAATATTTCATTTAGAGAGCAAATCTAAATATATCAATATATGAACTTCCAAAGCAAGACAAATATTACTTGAAATATCCCGTTAGACATCCAATTAAAAGCAAACGGAGTACAAAAACTGAAGCCAATCAAATGTCGATCAAAATTTAGAAAGCCATTTAGAGAATAGTTTCAAAAAGTCAGAGACATTTGACAAGACAGACCCTTAAATGATTTATAGAAAAGGCTGTACAAAACCAAAAAGGAAGTGAATAGAACACGAAAATGAAAAATCTGGTTGGAGAATAAGAAAATCAGGTTATCATATAATAAAAGCAAATAAATAAATAAATAAATAAATAAAACAACAATTTGATATAATAATTTGATATAATTCGATATTGCATAAATTTTAATTTTTTAAATAAACTTTTATTACACAACATTTTTGTACATTGCATTCATACTGAAAAGCAAGTTTAAGTGTATATGGCAGTACAAAGATGGGAATCAATTAATAATTGTTTAACGGTCAGTGTATCAAAAAAGTATCAAAAGTAGAAGCATTATTATTAGTGTTAACGTTATAAGAGACGATTGAAGGTATGTACGTAGGTAGGTAAGTAATTGATACGTAATACGTAAATAGATACGTAGTAATGATAGCAATAGATAATTATAGATAATAATAATAGATTGTAATGATTGTATCTTTAGAGTATATTTAGATTGTGTAGATGTACGTATAGATAGTAATAAATAAATAAACTATATAACTATACGTATAAACTATATACGTAAACTATGTTGATGATAAAAGATAATTAGATTATCTACATGATATAGTTAATTTTACACTAACACTATCTGCTATATACTGACTGATACGTAGCGACGTACGCACGCACATACGTAAACTATATAGCTATACTATCAGTTATACAGTACGTATACAGTATATAGTATATAGTTGGTATATAGTATGTATCAATACAGTATACAATATACCACTATTATACTACTACGTAAGGATTTGTGGCTGACAGAAAGGTCGGAATAGCATCGGAAAATGAATAAAGATTAATTGGAAAAAAGTAAACAATGATGAACAAGATAGCAAGCCTCACGAAGGCAGAGAAAACAATGAATTAAAAGAAAACATGCCACCGACAATGAATAAGTTCACTGCCACATAACGCAGCAAATTCAACAACTCAGCCTCGGCACTTACAAGACTCAAAACAAAAAGATTAACCATTAAAGGAGAAATGAGCTAAGCCAATGCTAAGCAACCAGTGACCCGGGCGGTGCGATAAATTTCACAATTAACGGGAACAACCGAATTAGTAAATGGTAATGAAATACATTTTCCTCTTGTCATTGTTGCTTATGCTTCGCGCAGGTCTTCACGTTCATTTTTATTGTAAATGAATATAAATGAATATAAATGAAGAAAATTCTTTTTTTATTTTCGGTTAAATAAGCGATGATCAGAAAACATTCATAATCCAAATTTAAATTTTAACTTTTTAGAATCAGAATCATTCTAATTAAATAAAAATTAGCCACGTTTATCAAGCAAGATAATAGACCTGACATTTACCATGTTGATCAAAGGAAAAAAGGACACGAACGATCAACAAACATTTTAGTAAAAAAAAATCATTTTATTTTATTTTCTTTTTTTATTTTTCTTTTTTAAATTCATTTTTAATACTGCAGTACTTTACTGTACTCTGTACTGTATAGAGTTTAAATTCATTTTTTTTTCATTTATTCATTTAGTATAAATTCATTTAAGCAGTTAAAGTTAGTATTATACTTTAAGTAATTTAAACACATTTAGTATAAAGTAATTTAAATTTATTTGGAATAAAGAAATTAGAGAATGATGAAAACGAACAAAGAAATTCATTCATTCTTACAAACAATATCTAGATTAAATAACTAAGGTTCAACTACATATTTTAAAAAAGTCAACTAGGTTAAAAAAAGTAAATTATTATGATGGATTAATTAGATGAATTAAATAGTTAGATTAATTAAATAATTAAATCATTAATTATCGATATAATTATCGTATAATTATCGATATAATTATCGATATAATTATCGATATAATTATCGATATAATTATATATATAATTATAAATTATCGATATAATTATATATAATTATAAATTTATAGATTTTATAGATTTTATAGATTATAGAAACAATTAACGAAATTAGAGGAAAGTAGGAAAACAAACTCCGTTCAGCCGATAATTACTCAGAAATTCCAAATATGAACCAGTTAATATCATTTAGAACCAAAATCAGCAAATGGTGTTTGCCATTGTATTCTCTTACATTACTATACATTACTATACATTACTATACATTTTTATCGCATACAATCAAATGTACAATAGCTTGATTGCAATCGTTCTAAATTAACATTTAAACTCCATTTTTCGTTTCATTTGGCGCATCTGAGACAATTGACCTGTGAGTTCTTTATACCTGTCAATCAGGTTTATATCCGAATCTGTTAATAACATAAAAGGCTGTGCTCGTAAATACGCCTTTCCCATTTATCGTTCCGTTAATCCAAATCTGGTTGTCATGAATTGATGATTTCCATGTGTTGCCTTTAATCAACGAATAGCGTTCTTTTTCTTTTTTTTTTCCTTCAACAAAGTTTTACAATGACTTGTAACGGTCGAACCCGCAAATCCTATTATTAATGCTAGTTTTAGTTTTAAATTAATTAAAAATACGTATCACACCAAACTGTTGCCCTTTGCCTTTAAAAGTTAACCTTAGAATTAATGTTGATAATTTCCAATTCCGTTTCGTCATATATCCGAAAATCGAGATATAATCTATGTAGATAATTACTTGCTGTTCATGTATTACTTTTAAGTGACTCATCATTCTATTTTTGGTAAATATTTATCTTCCGTAATTCTTTTATCTAATTATTCGGTTGGCCGTTGGTCATTCGTTCATCTGGGCTCCGATTAAAATATCTACTTCCCGATAATTCCTTTATATTACTATACATTATTATTATCATTATTATTATCATTATTATTACTATACCTCTCTATACATTAATTATCATTACTATACATTAATTATATCATTACTATACATTATTTCATATATTATTATTACTATACATTATTACTATACATTATTATTACTATTATTACTATACATTATTATTTCTACACATTATTACTGTATTACTATATACTATATTCAATACATACTTACGTACTTACATACTTATTTATCTCTCTGTTTTATCCTGTTTTATTCTGTTTTTATTCTGTTTTTATTCTGTTTTCTTCTTTTTTATTCTTTTTTACTCTTTTTTACCTTATTTTACTCTGTTTTACTCTATTTTGTACTTTCAATTTCTTTCTTATGGATCTCTTACGTGCATCTGTTTAATTTCGGTTAGTCTATACTCTTAATTTGATTCTCCACTACTAGAGTTATGGTAATTAAAAATATCATTAAATGTCATTTAATTCTACTTATTGAATAAACCAATTTGATCATTTAATATATCATGAAATCCTAATAAGGTCTAATCTTTTCTTTAATACGTAATACAAAATACATCATCACTTGTCTATTTCGGGTTCCGTGAAACTGTTTTTCACGATTGTTACTGATTGTTGCCACTTTCTTTAATATATCTTTTTTAAATCGTTAATATTTAAATGAAAGCCACTTGTCTAGTAAGTATCTTGTATATTGTTGTTTCGCTCTGCCTCAATCTAGTCTATTTTAGTGTGCGATTTATTATTGATTTTATTATTGATTGATTTTATTTATTCTTATAATATAAACTGTATATAAATAAATTTTCATAGTTGATTAGAAATATGTGTAAATTACATATCTGATTTATCATATGTTTATATATTAATCTTTACTTTTCCTCTTTTTGCCGATTAACCTCTTTTCAATTTCCCTTTCTTGTTTATGGTCACACTGCATGTGTAGGCCCTACTTTAACATTTGAACCTATTTCCTAAAAAAAAGTGCCCTGCCCTTTTTTTTTTTTTATTTCTCTTCCATTAAATCCATTAAACTCTTTCTTGTTCGGGATCAAATTTTCTTTTTGAATGTCTGTGTTATAATAATATTCTTAATTTACCGTTGTAAAACTGGGCCCGTTTGATTGCTACACAACTTTTCCAACTAAAATATCCTGAGCCTTTTTTGTTAGATACTTTTTTTTTTTCCTACTACTATTCGTTCGGTTCCGACCTCTTTATACTTTATTATAAACTTTTTCTCTTTTTTTTTCTTTTTTTTTTTTCTGAATATACTTGAACGAACCGTTCTATTTCTGTACTTTTTTGTGCTTTTAGAGTGAACCATTATTCCTTTTTTCTTTGCTGCTATTTTTTTTTCGGTGTTTCTTTTGTTTTTTATTTTTTTTTATTTAAAAAAAAAACGACCTTCACGTTAACCGGTCTGGTTAGGTCTTAAATCACTTTTTTTTTTTTAAAAAAAAAAAAAAACTAAAATAAATAAAGTGAGTGGAAATTCTTGTGAATTTTATCATTATTTATCTTTATAAATCAACTTTATTTTTTCGCGTAAAGTGTTGAAAAATACACCTTTCACGAAAGGTCGAATTCTATAATGTCGTCTTTGTTTTCGTTTTTTATCGTCTCCCATTTGTTCGTGATTTTTCTTTAATTTAATCATAAATAAATATTCGATACGTATCTAGTTAATCACGAAATGACAAGTGTATATGATCAGTACTCTACGTCGACCTCTTCGCGAACGAATTCCCTTAATCGGCCTTCGGTTGTTCCTATATCGGCCTTGTTAAATCCTGAACCTGATGGTCATGTGGTATCTCCAACATCAACCACATCAACTACGTCAACAAAATCAACATCTTCAACAACGAATCCTGACAATTATGAAAGTATCGATGATGGTTATTATAATCCTTCAACAAATCAAAATCTTCAAAACCATCAAAACCTTCAAAACCATCAAAATCTTCAAAATGGTCAACATTGTCGACGTTATTCAGCTCCAAACTTATCATCAGATGTTTCAAATGAAAATAATAATTTAACCATCATTTATCATAACAATCAATCAAATGCTATTACTCCTATTAGTTCTGAGTCTTCTCTTTCTACCCCTACTTCTCCAATGTCAAAACATTCTTCTTATTTGGGTGGTGGTCCATCAAGATCTACTTCTTCTTCTTCTTTACCTTCCACTCGTAGATCTTCAATGAACAGATCTAATGATCAAACTTCTGTTAATAATATGATTACACCTCCGCAAACTCCTGGTGTTAAATCTCCAACAAAAGCAAATTTTCAATTTCCTCCAAATACTTCTGATCAAAATTCTCAATCAATGCCTCCTAAAGTTAAACGTAAAAGAATAACTCAAGAGCAATTGGCTGATTTGGTTGCTATGTTTGAACAAACTGATACTCCAAGTTATGATGTTCGTGAAAAATTAGCTAAAAAATTAAATATGACTAATCGTGAAGTTCAGGTAATTTATATATTTTTTATATACTTATTTTATACTTTATAGATTTATAGATATACCTTATAGATATACTTTTTATAGATATACCTTATAGATATAATTTATAGATATACCTTATATATATACTTTATAGATATACCTTATAGATATACTTTATAGATATACCTTATAGTTATACCTTATAGTTATACCTTATAGTTATACTTTATACACTTATTTTATACATACCTTATAGATATACGTTATACATTTATTTCATGCACATGCATCATATATATACTTTTATACATATGCTTCACGCATACTTTATACATATATACTTTATGCATACTTTATATATACATATTTCATATACTGATATACTTGATTTATTTTATTTTATTTTATTATAGGTCTGGTTTCAAAATCGTCGTGCAAAAGCTAATCGTGCTAAAGCCAATGAGCATAATGCATCTCATCAGCATCATCGATTTTTACATCATCATTCTGTTTCAACAGCTCAAGCTGCTAGTGGTCATGCTTCTTCTATTGGCATGATCAACCCTGGAAATTTCACTTTTGTTCCAATGTTTACAAATAGTGGCCCTTCAGCTGGTTGTCAGGCAAAGGGTCGAAATAATCGAAGACACTCTTGCGTTACTTCAACTATTAATTCTCAAAAAAAGTCTTCTCAAACCTCCCCTTTCACTAGGCAACGTGCTGCAACTGTTACTGGTGCTCCTATGACTTCTCATACTTCTCATAACTCTCATAACCCTCATACTTCTCATACTTCTTCAAATTCTCAAAAAATGGGCATTCCCCCATCAATAAAAATTATGCCTTATGGTCAAGACCATCAACTTCATCATGTTTATGGTGGTCATAATCATACTGGTCATACCGTTCCTCCTTCTCCTGTTTCTCCTACTACTCCAATTTTACCTCCTCCTATCCCATCTTCACATTATATGTTGTCTGGTCTTAACCCTTGTACTCTCCCTCCTCCTATCGTTCCTCCAATCAAAGATCTCCTTGCTCCTCCTTCTGATTTATATCAATCTGGTCAACATTCTTTGACCTCGGTTCATCATCAATCATATACTCACCCTCATCATTCTTATCTTTCAACTGTTGATTCTCAATCAACTCTTTCATCTGCTGTATCAAAAACTTCTCCTATTGACATTCTCGCCACTGCTGCTGAGTTTGTTCAAAGTGAGGAAAAAGAAAAGGAACGCCTTAAGGCCCTTGAAGCTATAAAACAAGAGGATGAGAATAATGATGATTCTCAGAAATCAAGCGTTTGGAGACCTTGGTTAGTGTGACTTATTCTTTACGAGATTTCAACAATTTAATAAAAATGTGTTTGAAAATTTTTTTTTTGGCTAGTTGGCCAATTGATCAAATCGATCAAATTGGTGTCTAGTTATTCCCCTCAAGTTTTTTCCCTCAAATTTTTTAAATGTTAAATTTGGCTTTTATTGATTGGCTTTATATATATCTATATATTTTTTGTTTATTTTTTCTTTAGATATGGGGTTGTACGTAATGTACCTTCACATGTATCCTATTGTTGTATATTCTGTGTATTCGATGTACATTTCCTTTTTACATTTTATTGTTTCTACCCGAAATTATTGTATCTATTATTTTGTTGAGGGGGTTTTTATTTCTTGTTGATTTTGAATTAAAGAATTATGCTGGGTTATTATTGTTGATTTTTGTTGGGTATTATTGGGTTATTGAGTTATTGTTGGGTTATTACGTTGGGTGTTTCTCTTTTCTTTTTTTTTTTTAATCTTATAGAAATATAACACCTTTTACATACAAGCTGAAAAAAATTTTTTTTATTCTCTATATATTTTTGTTTATACTTTGTCTCTCGAAATACCAATATAAAAAAATTTTTTAGATTTGGGTTGAATTTCGAATATAGTAACTGATATTTATATCATGTTAAAAGATTACCTTGTTTACCTCGTTGTTGGACATTCGGTAAAGAAAACAAGGTCTTGTATAAAAAAAAAAAAAACAAACAAAAAAATAGAGGTTTATATTACTTTTAAAAATTATACCACTTTTTTTTTTCCAATCTTTTGATTCATGTTATTATTATTATGAATCTTTATGGAGGTTAGCTCAATTTTCTCGAAAAAAAAAAACAAAAATACATTTTGTACAAAATTTCTTTCTTTTTTTTTTTTTTCTTTTCTTTTATTTGATGATTATTTTTAAAAACATTAAGAATCTTTTTTTTCATCTGTACATAAGTTTTTTTATATATATATATATATATATTATTTTTAGGAAAAATCCACAAAATGAATTTGTGAAGATATATATGTTTAGCAAGTTTTCTACTTTATATAAAATATTATATCTGATATGTAGTGTTATATTTTTCGTGTAATTTTTTTTTTTTTTTATCTGTGTTTTTTTTTAAAAGAAAACAAAAAAAAAAAAGAAAAAAGCTGTGACTAAAAATAAAAAAAAAAATAAATAAAAACATTTATTAGCCAATGCTACATATACATAAAGTCAGTATATATCCATATAGTCAAGTATCGATGTTATAAAAAAAATGGCAGTAAAATATATTTAATATATTTGACATATATATTTGACATATATAGGTGAACTATTATGTATAGTACGTATTTTATTTTATTTTTTTTTATCCTTGATATTATTTTTGATCGAGAAAAAAAAAAATTTAAAAATTTTAAGAAACTTTATTTCTGATTTTTTTAAAAACCAAAATTAAATGTGATAAACTCAATTAAGTTTTTTTTTTTTTAAAAAAAAAATCATATCATTCATTCACTTTATTTTTTTTTTACGATAATGATAATGATTGATACGTACGGATAAATCCTAACTTACAAAGTTATACGTATAGGTACTTGAGTATGTAACTTAGTGCAGAAGTACAATATTTTGGTAAACAAATATTTCCAAATATCCCGATATCAATGTCTATGACGTAAATTATTAAAGATCATTCACAATATAGTGTAGTACATATCATATGATTATATATACAAAATTTACTGTTCGTGTTCATTTAACGTTTAAGTTGACAAGTTAACGTTAACCAATTTTTTTTACTTCAAAGTTGATCAAACTATTAAACTTTAATTAGTTCAAATATTAAATATACTTCTTTACCATGGATCTACGATCGTGGGTTTCTGACAACACGTTAAAGGTATTTCTTTGACCTTGATCTATTAACTTTTTTTTTTAGTATATACTAATTTCAATAATATGCACAGTTGGTTGGAATGTCCGAAGCGACTATAGTTGATTACATGATCGCTGAAGGTTTGTTTCTAAAAAGGTTTAATTAATTATATTACATTGTTTCTTTAACCATTTTAATCCTTACGTTCATTAATTTCATTAATTTATAAATATTTAGCACAATGTGCTAAAAGTAGAGAATCACTACGTGAAGCGTTGAGTGAGTTGCCACAAACTGCAGAGGCTCAACGATTCATTAATGAACTTTTTGATAGAGTTCCTCGAAAAAGTTCATCAAGTGTAAATTTCAAATTATATATTTTTTTTTAAAAAAAAATTTCTATTAACAAATGATTAACCAAATATATATATATATATATATATATATTGAATTTTTTTTTTTTTTTTTTTAATAATTAGGATACAACATCTAAAAGGAAAAGACAAGAACAAGAAACAAAAAAATTAGTTGAAAAAAATCAAAAAACTTATACATTACTTCATGACAATGATAATTATTTAGATGAACAAAATTCAAAAAAATCTAAAAAATCTAAAAAAGAAAAAAATTTACGTAAAAAAGATACTTTAAATGGTTGGGAAAGTGATAATGATGATAAATCTATTAAAAAAATAGAAATTAAAGATGGTATTATTATTATTATTATTATTATTATTATTATTCAACTTTTACGTGATATTCCGATGTTAACTTTTAGTTTTCAAATTTTAATAGAATCAGAAGATGAATACTTAAAAGAAGAAAATGAAAAAATTCAAGATATAATAGAAAGAGATGAGTACGCTAAACGTTTAAGAGAAAAAGATAAGGAAAGAACAAAAAAGGTTGGTGAATAATATAATATATCTTGATAGACAACTTTGGTAGAATCCTAATAATAATAATTATTATGATTATTATTATTATTATTATTTGTTTCATAGCTTGTAGAAGATCGATCATCAAAAGCAGATAGTGAAACTGCTAAACGAAGAAATCTTGCCAATGATGCTGAAGCACGTAAAAAACTTCTTCCTGACATTCGTGAAAGATCACGACAAACTTACTTAAAGGATCGAACAGATAAACAATTACAAATGTTAGAATTAGGTGTTATTGATGAGGATATATTGTTTAAAGATGAAAAACTTTCTAAAAGGGAAAGAAGGGAACTTGAAATGAAAAAAGAAACTTTAAGATTAACGAAAGAGAGATTAAGTCTTTCTGGAAAAACTGATGAATACTCAATGCCAGAAGGTTATATTATCTATTTATAATATTTATACATAATTGTAGTATCAAAATTTTAATATTTTAAATTTTATTCTTTTATAGATTATATAACTGAGAAAGGAAAGATAGATAAAAAAAGAAAAGAATCTGTTTTGTATCAACGTTATGAGGAAGATCGTGACCCAAATAAATTTGTCACTGATCAAGATCAATGGGAACAAACTCAAATAGTAAAATCTCAATTAAAAGTCGGTGCTCAAGATAGAATAAAAGAAGAAGAGGATTATAGTTATGTGTTCGATGATCAAGCCATTGATTTTCTTGATTGGGATTGGAAATCGAATGATAAAGAAGATGAAATCATGGCTAAAATTGATGAAGCTGAACGAAAGGGTGAGTTTTTTTAAATTAACAATAGACAACAATAAAAACAATTGTTAATAAAATAAGTAGATAAATAAAATAATATACATATATATATATATATTTAGCAAAAACAATCGATGAAACACGCAAGTCTTTGCCCATATATTCTTTCAGAGAAGATTTACTTAAAGCTATAAATGAATATCAAACTTTGGTGATTGTTGGTGAAACTGGGTCAGGAAAGACTACACAATTGCCTCAATATCTCTTTGAAGCAGGTTATACCAAAGATGGGAAAAAAATTTGTTGTACGCAACCAAGGAGGGTTGCTGCAATGAGTGTTGCCGCTCGTGTAGCAGAAGAAATGGGTGTAAAACTTGGATATGAGGTAAATGATTCGTAATGATTAATGATTTATTTATGATCCATGTATCTTATCTAATTTATCATAATTATAGGTCGGATACGCGATTAGGTTCGAGGATTGTACTTCAGATAAAACTATAATTAAATATATGACCGATGGTACTCTTCTCCGTGAATTTTTATCTACTCCTTTACTAGATGATTATAATTGTTTAATGATTGATGAGGCACACGAAAGAACTTTACATACTGATATCTTATTCGGTTTAGTAAAGGTAATATTAACATCTAATTATCTTATTTCTAAAATTTCATAAATTATTATAAATGTCATTAACATTTCCCTTAATAATTCAAGGATATTGCCCGTGTAAGACCTGATCTCAAACTTTTAATATCAAGTGCCACTTTAGATGCTCAAAAGTTTGCAGAATACTTTGATGCACCAATTTTCAATAGTAAAAATTTAAACATTACGTTAATTCTCTTTATTCCATTCACATTACATAAATAACATCAATTACATTTATTTTATTCTAAATATAAAGTTCCTGGCAAGCCTTATCCTGTACAAATATGCTACACTAAAGCACCTGAAGCAAATTATATATCCGCTGCTATCACTACGGTAATGCAATTGCACATTTCACAAAAGAACGGTGACATATTGGTTTTCCTTACAGTAAGTATAAGAATAATTACATGTTTTAATATCGTTAATTAATAATGGTTTTTTTTTTTTTTTTTACAATTATTCTACTTTTACAGGGACAAGATGAAATTGAAGCTGTGCATGAAAGTTTACAACATACCTGTAGGGTTCTTGGAAGCAAAATACGTGAACTTATAATATGTCCTATATATGCGAACCTTCCTCCTGATATGCAAGCTAAAATTTTCGAACCAACACCTCCTGGAGCTCGAAAGGTATATTGATAACATTTATATATTTTAAGAAATATTAATTCATTAATTAATTTATCTTTAATTTTCAATGTAGGTCATTTTAGCTACCAATATAGCCGAGACTTCAATTACTATTGATGGTGTCACATTTGTTATTGATCCAGGTTTTGTTAAACAAAATGTATATAGTCCAAAAACAAGAATGGAATCATTGTTAGTTGTTCCAGTAGGTATTAATCAATTTTTCATGTGTTCATATCATAAACATTTGTATAAAAATTATTTTAAATTATTTTATAGTGTTCAAGAGCTTCAGCAGTTCAGAGATCTGGAAGAGCTGGACGTGTTGGACCAGGTCATTGTTTTAGATTATATACTCAACATGCGTTTCACAATGAGTTGGAAGAAAACACCGTTCCTGAAATTCAAAGAACTAATTTAGCTAATGTGGTTCTATCATTAAAGGTTTTTTTCTTTAAATCATATTTTTGCATTGTTTATGTGTATACTGTTTATAAAAAGTCTAATCATGACGATTTCAGAGTATAGGAATTCATGATGTGATGAGGTTTGAGTTTATGGATCCTCCTCATGAACAAGCACTAATAGCTGCACTAAATGATTTATACGCTCTTGGAGCTCTAAATAATAATGGGGAACTGACCAAATTAGGCAGGCGCATGGCTGAATTTCCCTTGGATCCATTTTTATCTAAATCAATAATATGGTCGGAAAGATATAATTGTACAGAAGAGGTAAGGTGTTTAATTTAAATACATGTTTACTGTATTATCTTTTTTAATTTTTTTGTATTCATTTATATTTACAGGTGATATCTATTATAAGTATGCTTACTGTTCAAAGTTCCGTTTTTTATCGACCAAAGGACAAAAAATTTCATGCAGATAAAGCTCGCCAGAATTTTGTTCGTCCCGGTGGTGATCATTTCACGTTATTAAATGTTTGGGAACAGGTTAGTCAAATAAAAATTGTCGTGACTTAAGCTGGAAATTTTGAATATTTTAATATGAAATTTTCAAATTTTTTGGGTGAATTTTTTTTTATAGTTAAAATTTAGGGTTAGTTTTAAGGTCCCTAATTTCCAGCTTTAGCCGCGACAAAAATTGTAAAAATGAATCTTTTCTAAATTTATTAATTTTAATTTACTTTCATTTAATTAATATACAGTGGGTAGATACAAATTATTCAATGAATTGGTGTTATGAAAATTTTGTAGTTTATCGATCAATGTCTAGAGCAAGAGATGTTCGTGATCAACTTGTTGGTCTTTGTGAACGTGCTGAAGTAGATTTGACATCTAACCCAAATCCTGGTGACATTGTACCAATTCAAAAAGTATTGAATAATATCATTTAACATCATTATTTAATTATAAATTAAAATTATTCTAATAACATAATCTATATTATCTTAGTCAATTGTGTCAGGATTTTTCATGAATGCCGCAAGGATTTCACGTTTTGGTGAGTCGTACCAAAAAGCAAAATATGGTGAACCGGGTCGAACGATACATATTCATCCCAGCAGTTCTTTATTTCAAGTAAATCCAAAATGGATAGTATTTTTTGAATTAGTACTTACAAGTAAGGAGTATATGCGTCAAGTAATGGAAATTAAACCTGAATGGTTAACGGAAGGTTTGTTTTTATTTTATTAATCTTAAAAAAAACCTCCTCAATTCCATTGTTTTTTGAATGAAATATTAACTTGAAAATTTTAATAACAGCTGCTCCATATTATTATTCAAAATCAGAATTGGATAATTTAGATGGTAAAAAGAAAATGCCAAAAAATAATCAAGCTACATAAATTTTAATAATTAGTAAATCAGAATATTATGTAACAATTTTAAATAATTATAATTAAAAATTTTAAAAACTTTGCAAATTTTATTATTGTATCTTAATTTTATGTAATTAAAGTTTTTAAACTTAGATTAGATTCTATTAATAAAATTTGTTAAATTATATTTAAGAAGTAAATTATGATTAAAGAACAAATTTAATAATAAAAAATTTTAAGAATTAATATGGATTTTTTTTAGTTAGAATGCAGTTAGCTTACAATAATAAGTTATTTCTGAAGGTTTCTTACCAATTGCTATATCTAACATTTCTGTTTAGGTGTTTTACTTTAAACTTTCTGAATCTGCAATCTGTGTTAATATTATTGAGTCATACTCAGATGTTTAGATCATCATCTCAACTTTAGAATTATTTTATTTTTAAGATAAACCTCTCAGTCTTTTATTTTTACAGTTGATCTAGATATTGCTATGGCAGAATCAACACTTGTGATCAGAGTTATATTATTTAACTATTATGCTTTTGTAGAGTTTACTTAAACCTTAGCATTTACTTTACAACATAACTTCAGTATTTTAGTATATCTTTGCCTTTTGTTCAAACTTTCAATTCAGATAACTTGTATAAAACTATGTTCAGTTTATAATATATCAAATTGGTCTAATATTCTTTTTCTCTAGTTTATTCTGATGTCCTGATTGATGATATCTTCAAACCTTTACCAATTCAGAGGTTTTTGCTTATCTGGGTACTACAACTTTAGTATTTATTTTTTGGATTAGTTTTTATAGTAGTGCCATCAAAGATTTGGTTATTTCTCTACTTGGATTTTTTCAAATAGATATTTTTTATCTAATTTTAATGAATTTATATAGTCAAAAAAGGTCTTTGTTATTAGTAGTTATAAATTAATTTAATAAGAAAAAAAATTTTTACTAGTAGGTTTAAATCTAATTCTTTATTACTAGTAATTTGAACTTATTTTTTTGTTATTAATAGTTTTAAATCTAATACTAAAATTTAAAAATTTTTATTAATATAAACTTAATTTAGTAAAATTTTTTAAAAAATCTTTATTAGCAGTTTTGAATTTATCTTTTGTTACTAATAGTTTGAATTCAAGACTAGAATCTGAAAAAATTTTTATTACTAGTAGAATTAATCTAATTTATTAAATTTTTTTAAAAAAATCTTTATTTTTTTTTTTTTTTTTTTTCCCTTAGGCAGCCTTGCCGATCACCTTTATTAAGATTCTTGTATACATGTTATACAAAGTTGGCTTAAATTTTGGTTCGACATCCCCCGGCTACTTCTATGAGTGCCCAGAAGCGGTCTGCCGCACAGGCCAGGTGATTATTCCTGGCCTGGGGCTATACCAAGCTAGCCAATAAAACCCTGAAAAAAGGGTCTTACATTTCTATTTACAAAACTAAAAACTGAACCGAGCCATGTTTCCTGAATTTGAACCTTGTTCTTCTCTTTTCCCTCCCTCATGGCTCGGTTTTGTTCATCTAAATTTATATTTTTTCCTTCTTTTC